AATAACGCCGGATCACTGTCTTCTTCGTACCTATAGATATTTTTAGGGAAAGAAAGCTCAATAAATCCTCTCCAAACAATCCGCTAATGAAGCCAGTTTTTCGGGAGCCTAAAGATAGGCTGGGAGATCCTACAATCCCAATCAGCCTAAACAATGATATCTTCATGCATCGGGTTTTTACATCTCAAAACACGAGCATTGAAGATGCCATACTAATAGTATAAAACAGAATCAACCCAAAAGAGCACGAAACATGATTCGCCCTGAAACTATTACGCATAAGCTTCTCAAGAGAAGAACATTTGTTGTAACACAAACTCTCTACTAAGGTATTGATACAACAATTGCCTTCAGCAAGCACTTAATGCCCGGGTCCCATGTCAAGTAAGACCCACAACTCTGACGGTTACTTTGACATTCATCATGTCTTTTGTAGCACTTTTTATATGAATACCTGGTGTTTGACAGTTACTTTGTTAAATGTTTGGCCCGTGTACGTTTAGACTGGTCTTCGGCCTAGGTCAAGAGCTTACCCCTTCTCCTTCGCTTAGAATGCATATATTCTGACCAACCTGATGCTTTCCTCTTCCTTAGGGAAGGCACCGACCGCAACGTTCTTGTACGTGTGGGCTGGCTTTTAGGCCAAAGTGGGGATTAAGCCTTTCTTTGTCTTCTAATATGCACATTTTTATCCTACTTAACCTTATTTTGCTCAGTGGGAGGTCTCGAGGTGGTGCACATTTAATGTAAAATACTTATTTCAATAGTTGAGTAAAATCTGGTACATCACAAAATGCTTCTGCTTTCGCACCGAAACAATCATCGTCAGTAATTGGTACGGATAGTCATTTTGCTGTAGAATGCCACTTAGTCAAATGCAGTGTTGGGCAGGTACACACACTAACAGTTAAAGAAATTCAAAGAACACAGCCTTGGATACAGAGGGGTTGGCGAAATACTTGACCACAATTGTAAATGAACAACTCGTATACTACATTTTTATGGACTTTTAAATAAAAGCCAGTATTAGTAAAGACCAGTATTAAACGTAAAATGCACCACAAGTGGTCCGTTTAGTTGCCCAAATTAGATACTTTAAAACCGAGATATGGTATTCAAAACTGATGTGGATCAATGATAAAAGTTAAGCGAACTCTGTGTGTTTTGCGTACTTAAAGCTATTTATAGACTATTGCAGAATTTTATTCCATTCTTATTAAAGGTAACCTATGAGGTTTTGCTTACCTCTGCCACCAATTTTGGGCATCTACGAAGCTGAAAACGTATTAACAAATATGTCGTCGACTGATAAAACATATTGTTCTCGTGAAAATAGTTTCTTTTATATAGTTGTACTGCGTCTGTTTGTAAGCCTTAATTGAGCGTGACTTATACCCTTGAACTTTGTTGCTATCATCGTTGACTCTACCGCTTTAATTAATTATTTTACAGGGGGCATTTAAGATGATTGTGGTTGACGCATAATAAACCTGACTTTGCAATGGTAAACGAGCTCGATCAAAAGGTTTTGCGTGATCTTTATGCATGGGTTGATTCTATTCCGTTATCGCGGCCGAAAAGAAACATAAATCGTGATTTTTCTGATGGAGTACTGGTTGCAGAAGTCATCAGGCATTTTTTTCCTAAATACGTTGATATTCACAACTTTCAAGGGTGCAGTAAAATTGATGGTAAACGGAACAATTGGCAGTTGCTGAATTGGAAGGTTTTTTCCAAGTTTTCATTTAAACTCACTGATGATGTTGTTGAATCTCTAGTCAATGCCCAACCTGGAACAATTGAAAAGCTGCTTTTACTTCTGCGTTCGAAGTTTCGTGAACATGAAAGTGGTCTTGATTCTAACGACAATGGTTTACCGAATCCTCCTTCTCGAGTAGTCTTACCGAGTTTGATTACGCCCGCATCCAATTTGCAGCGCCTTCGCAGGATCCCTTCTGTGCGCAATGATACTTCTACCAACGAAAAATCTCTCCCAGTTTTTGTGAAGAAAGGTTCACAAGTTTTGATGCCTTCCAATAAAGCATTTTCAATCTCAAAGTCTTTAAACCGCCTATCCTGGCGGCAACCCAACGCCACTAATGGGCCTCGTGATATTGCTGCTCAAGATATGCTTCAAGTCTACGAGCAGAAAGTACAAGAGTGTCTTGAACTTCAGGAAACGGTTGATATCCTTAATGCCAAACTTCGCCGCATGCAGCATTTACTTCAACTGAAGGACATGCGAATAAATGAGCTTCAATCAAGACTGGAATATTTTTCAGTGACGTGATATTCCTTTCCTTACAAGTTTTTCTAAACGCAGTGCACATTTGTCAAATTTTAATATAGTATGTCTTTTGATTTTGGCATTTAAAATTAATTTAAAGCGCATTTCATGAATATGTATTCATTGGTGTTCCGACCATTCCCATTCTCTTAATAGTACAATTAAAAGTTCTCTTAAAATCGCGGTCCTTTTAACTCACACGACGGTTTTAGGCATCAATATTACCAATGTTCTGCGAAGTTTGTTTCTAATCTTTTTTATCAACATTTAGTTGATGCGTGCAGAACCTCGACACTTAAGAAAGGCGTTCAAATTGGAACTCTGCATGCTCATGCATTAGCCGACAATT